CAAAATGCACATGATGCCACAGGGTGCAATATACTAATAAATGTATACATCCCACTATCTCTCTTTCTCTCTCACTCTGTTTCTACCCTATGCACAACACGACAGATGACAACATGGCATTTAACCAGGGGACATCTGACAATGGGTCCTGTTTGCTAACCCATGAACAGTGGAGTGAACTTTAAAGCAAGTGGCTGTTCCGTTACAATCTACGCTGTCCACAGTTAGTGGACTGCGAGCTTTTTAAATGTTAATCCCCTCTCCACAAATTAAGTATTTTTGCTACCTTTTCTTCCCAAATACATTGTTATGGGGAGGTTTAGTAAAAACACCAAACCCACTCCAGATAAAAAAAAAATAATTATATATATGTATAGGCATTGGGGTTGCTTTCTCAATCAGCAACATTTAGGGATATTATCATTATTATTTTATTTATATAGCACCAGCAAGTTCCATAGCGCTGTACAATGGGACATAAATATAAATTCTATTTATTTATATAAAGGATATTAGAACGATAGTTATGTTATCAATAAGTGAGTGTCTTGCTCACTTGGGACTAAACCAGTCCATCATCCAAATATTCCTTAATATGTGTTTCAATTTCTGTATTATTAATTAAAGCGAGTATTCACAGACTGATGAGGTTGCTGAAGTCATTTTACCATTCTTTCTGTGACCACAGAGGCATTCCAATAACATGCTTGTTCTAACAGAGCCCGTCCTATCCATTCTTTATAGAGGTGGTCAGGTCAATGTGTTACTCACATCACTGGTTTCCTTTAGTGTCCCTTACTTGCACCCCCATAATTGTGTATTTTGTTCATAATAGTCCACATGAACCTGAGCCTTGTAAAATTGAAAAGTTCATTTTTTTTCCACCTCCCAGATGTCACAAAGATATTTAACCATTGGATTGTTGGAAGGGTATATTGCCTACCAGTTCTTGAATAGTTGTAAAGAATATTAGAATAGGGCATTACTTGTCAGCTGGATTGCCAGACTTCATGTTTCCTTGTCCAGCAGGCAAAGGGTTACATTTCCAGAGACTCCAGTAAATGGATACAAGCCAGTAAACTGTGTTACTATGTATTATCATTTTGCTTAGACTTAGAGTATATTTATAACAAAACTTAGTTCCTGGAGAATTGGACCTCCTGCAGTGTTCACTCCACATCAGCCCTAATTAACATGACATTTCACAACAGTGATCTTTTATTTGCTTGCTTTTCTCTCTTTGACTCTGGTGTGATTTTGACAATGCATTTTAAATGTTACCACTCACACACCATACCAACCAAACATTTGAATGTAAACATGGAATTTATGTCCCCAGAAGATACCCAGAGACAACAGCTGTTAACGTCCAGACCTAAATTCCCGTAGTCCGTCTCACTGTTTAAGATGATGCATGAACCAATAGTTTTTCCCCTTAGTATTGTCATGACAGAGCTTTATAGGACAGCTAAGGTCTTTTGTAAACCAGACTGATTGGAATGCTGAACTGTTGTATTTAGGACCAATATAAATGAAGATGTTACCAGCCCATTCAACAGTTCAATAGAAGACTTGCCATAATTGCATTGCACATTACTTTGTCAATATGGCTGTTTGACTGTCTAGCTATCCATTATGCACAGAGTGTAAATGACATGATTCTTTCAAATTTTTATCTGTCTGTAGGCATGCCTGCCTGTCCATCTGTCAGTCCATATACCTGCCTGTCTGTCTGTCTCTGTCTGTCTGCCTGTGTCTGTCTGTCTATGTGTCTGTCTGTCTATTCTATAGATTTATATAATAGGAAAAAAAAGACACATCCCATCTTCTGCATGCTATAAATGCCTGTACAGGTAGCATAAACAAACTGTTCTAAAAACAAAAACAAAACAGGCCAATCACCATGGAAACCAATAAAACCAACAGGCACATTCCATTCCATCACTATGCTTTTAGAACTGTTTTCCCTTTTCTGATCACAATACTATTTAATTGGATATTTATCAAAGTGTTCTATACTAAAAAGTGGTTTAAGTTACTAAAAGTGGGGCAATCAGCAGGCGCATTCTGTTGGTGACCTCTCCCCTTTTATATTTTTGCATCACTTTTAGAACAGAACACCTTGATAAATCTCTTCCCCATAGAATATTAAAATTATTGCTGAAAGTAATGCTTGCTGTTGACTGGATCCTCTTTGCAAAAACTGTTTTATGTACTTAGTTACATTTTATAACATTTCATATTGTTTAATGAAATAACCAGAAGATTTCAGATGCTGTGGTTACAGATAATCTAATAAAATTAAAAGAGCTTGCATAAACTCTGATAAGAGTGTTGCAGTCTGATCCTGTCTTACATCAACATCAGTTTGGAGTACAGAGCTTAAATACATCTTATCTGTGTCTGGGAAATCCTATCCTAATTTCAGGAAGGTGATATTTCAATTATTACAGCTACCTTCAAGGCCAGGTTGACAGATAGGCTTATTCTGTAAAATGGATAAAATCCTAATTTTCATTAAAATAGATAATATTTATATATGACTGAAACATTGTATCTGCTAGTATATATAATTTTACCCTGTATTAAGCAACAGTATATGTGCTCCTTAAGGGACACAACAAGTAGGAATATATCCCAATTTTAAAGCAATACATGGATAGTGCATGGGAATTATCAATGCAAAATAAATAAATACCTAAATAGGTGTAGTGTTTGATTAATGCTTTCAGTTCTTAGGACAGTTTTTAGGACATCTCCAATTTCCTTAAATGCTTCCCCATAGTTAATGTGTTACATCACTAGACTTTATGAATCATAGAAGATATCTGAAAATCTGTTTTAGGTGTTTAGAAGGTATACATGCACATACTGCAATTTATTACAAAGCAAGACTTAAAAATGTGTTCTGAATGTATAGTTACTCTACAGCAGGGGTAGGCAACCTTCGGCACTCCAGATAATGTCTACCACATCTCTGCTAGTGCTTTGCCAGAATTATGGCTACAAGAGCATTGCAGGGGATGTAGTCCACAACATCTGGAGTGCTAAAGTTTTCCTACCACTACTCTACAGTGTGAAGTGGATATTTATAAAATGAAAAAACAAACAAATTAAGTCATCATAATTTCTAACATTATAACCAGCTTAATTTCAGGCAACCTTTGAGTATCTGATGGATAGAAGAGTATAAATACAGTATATACGCCGATCAGCCACAACATTAAAACCAACTGCCTAATATCGTTTAGGTCCCTCCCTCGTGCTGCCAAAACAACTCTAATGTGTCAAGGCACAAAACCGCTGAACATGTCCTGTGGTATTTGGCACCAAGTCATTACCAGCAGATCCTTTAAGTATTGCAAGTTGTGAGGTGGGGCCTCCATGGATTGGATTTGTTGTTCCAGCACATCGAGCAGACGCTCAAACGCATTGAGATGTGGGGAATTTGGAGGCCACGGCAACACCTTTAACTCTTTGTCATGTTGCTCAAACCATTTTTGGACAATTTTTGCAGTGTGGCAGGGTGCATTATCATGCTGAAAGAGGCCACTGACATCAAAGAACACCACTGCCATTAAAGGGTATATGTGGTCTGCAACAATCTCTAGGTAGGTGGCGTGTGTCAAAGTAACATCCACATAAATGCCAGTACCCAAGGTTTCCCAGCAGAACATTACTCAGAGAATAGCACTACCTATGTCGGCCTGGCTTCTTCCCATGGTGTATCCTGCTGCAATCTCTTCCTTAGATAAACAATGCACACACACAGCCATATACCTGATCTAAAAGAAACCGTAATTTATCATACCAAGTAACCTTTTCCATTGCTCCATGGACCAGAAGGTACCATTGAAGGTACTTTTGAAATTGGACAGGGATCATATGGGCGCTCTGACTGGTCTGTGGCTATACAGCCCCATACGCATCAAAATGTGATGCACTGTGTGTTTTGACACCTTTACATCATGAATTAAATTTATAGAAGGGACACTGCTCCAAATTTTGGTACCTGTTAGTGACGATCCCTGCTCCAGAGATTTAGAATATATTCAAAGTAATAACACTGCCGCACTCGGTAGTTCAGGTGTAATGTTAGTTTATTCAGCCATTCAAATTAACAGGCAATGTTTTTATACAATGTGTGTCTTTATCAAGCCATCACTGTTTGGCCCTTGTCAAGTCACTCAGATTTTGTCACTTGCAGTTTTATTTCTGCTTCCAACACATGAAATTCAAGAACTGGCTTGCTCACTTGATGCCCGATATATTACACCCGTTTACAGGTGCCTTTGTAACGATATAATCAATGTTATTTATTTCATTTGCTAGTGGTTTCAATGTTGTGTCTGATCAGTGTAATTGTAATAAATGTGTGTTATGCAAATACCCAAACTCTTGTTGCTTGATTTGCCCACATAGCCAAACTGAGATCATATCTGATTTTGAGACTTTTTCTAGTTCGCGTATTTTTACCTACATTTCCCTTCAAATTCCTGACCATTCACACTATAGTGAATACCCTGAATGAGTTATATGCTCTGTATAATGCCAAATACTTTCCTGTAACAAGTGCACATGCCTTTCCTTTCCTTATTTTTCAATTTGTGTACTATATTCTCATGTTTTTTCTACAAATTATATTTATGTGCTTAAATCCGTTTTTTTTTAATTTACAGTTTAATGTTTATTTTTTCAACTGTACTGATATTTGACTAGACAAAAAAAATAACTCATTAATCGGAAGGTGAATTTCAAGTGGGCACTGGGGCATAGAACCTGTTATGTCCTTTGTATACCATGATATTTAAAATGAATAGCCAGTAAAAGAAGAATCGGTGGTGCTCGGTTTTTGGTAACCATAACACATTTCATCAACTGCATGAAATTGTTGTTTGTGGGCTTGAACAGGTCCAAGAGTAACACTGGTAGAAATTGGGGGGCTTTAATGACAAGGTTTGATAATGGCTAAAGCTAAAATCCTTGAAACCCATATACACGGAACAAAATTATAAACGCAACACTTTTGTTTTTGCCCCCATTTTTCATGAGCTGAACTCAAAGATCTAAGACTTTTTCTATGTACACAAAAGGCCTATGTCTCTCAAATATTGTTCACAAATCTGTCTAAATCTGTGTTAGTGAGCATCTTGATATGGCACACCTGTGAGGTGGATGGATTATCTCAGCAAAGGACAAGTGCTCACTAACACAGATTTAGATTTACACAGATTTGTGAACAATATTTGAAAGACATAGGCCTTTTGTGTACATAGGAAAAGTCTTGGATCTTTGAGTTCAGCTCATGAAAAATGGGGGCAAAAACAAAAGTGTTGTGTTTATAATTTTGTCCAGTGTATATTAAACTGTTAGTATGGAACAAGGGGCTTGTACTAATATCTAAATATATGCACAGTAGGTTATTTATTTTTTAGTAAATATAAAAGGTATGCCATGGTTAAAATCCAGTCTTGCAATAATTTTATTTTCCTTAAAGAGACAACCTGATTTTTTGGTGTATGTGTGTGTGAAGTGCTAACTCACTTTTCACAGGATCCTGTTTTGTATGTAGATTAAAGTGATTTTGAAAAGACTTATTCACTGACCTATATATATTCAGTATTCTTAATACGCCAATATACATCTATAGAGCCACATCAATAAATGAATTATTCGAGTATTGAAATGTGCTTTTCTTCATTCTGTTTACAGATCTTTACTGCCTCCTGCAGATCATTATATGAATAGAAATCCAGTCTTGGGATTTATTCACTGAACACTGAAAAAAATGTATGGTTTAATTCAGAGTTTTAAGGTTTGTATTCACCAAGACCCTTGGGAACACTAAGCAAGATAGGGCCTACATTTTCATACTCTATGCTGAATTAAAATTAAAAGCTTGATATAGCAATTTGAGTATTTAAATGTATGCAGTTTGGTTTCAAATTTGGAAAATAACCCCACTCATGATTCTCAGCACCTTGGTGTCTGAGAAATGTTCGGAACTATCAGAATTGTATGCATTGTCATTACAGGAGTAAGGACATTTATGAAATGCCAACTGCTACCCAATACCGATGAATGGACACTGTAGGCACATAACCATCTTATCTCATTGAATTAGTTATTTTGCCTGGGGGTGACTCTCCATTCAGTGTTCAACTGTTTCAAGCAGTATACGATTCAGTGAGAATCCCTGGCTCCCCACAGTCCAGCCCACACTGGTGTATGGCAAAGGAAGATATTGCACACTTCCTTCGAGCCATACTGATTCATACCTGCAATGGGCACTGTGATAGGCTCAAAGCAGTCAGCTGACATTCTCAGACAATCACTGTCAACATTGTTGCTCAGGCTAATGCTTCCTCATAGAGCCAAGCAGCACAGAGGGGATGGGTTGCTGGGGCCCTTGTTTACCATTAATACATTTAAAAACAGTCTAACACCGAATGGAAGGATGGCACCTGGGGACGCTAGACACTCTGGACACAACGATTCCAGTGGCTTCAGTGTCCCTTTAAATAAATGTGACAAGCAAGCAAACTGTTAAAATTTTGAGTGGGTAGCTATGAAAATACTTCCCTATGGCTTTCTCCTGTTGATTATTTATGGGATTCCCTCACCATCAAGTCAGGGTTCACTTGACTCAGTTCAGAACTTGGTGTGCTCATTAGGGATGATGATAAGTGTTGAATAAGTGTAGTGCATATCGGTTGAATTTAAGTCTCCGAACAGCCCATTTGGTTTCTGTTTTATAAACATTGTCTTTATTAAATGCCCTCTTCAGAGATTAAACTGCAAGTAAAGGAACTTCCAGTCATCAACACAGCTTTTATGCATTTTAGAACTTTTGCCTTAAATAATTAGCAGTATTTATAACATGCCCAACTGCGTACAGTTTTTGAGAAACAAAGATATGTGTCTTGCTACAATTACGCGTCAACCTTGCCACCTCTGTTCTTCTTCCTCCATGTCCTACTTCCTCCAAAATATTTATTCCTTCATGGTTACTGTATGTGCATAGAGCGCCCTTTCTGCCATTCTCTCATAACTTGAAGTGTCCAATGATATAGATGTACATGTCCTCACGAACTACAGTGAAGTTCTCTCAGAGATGAAGTTCACCTAACAGCTTCTAAAATGTGGATAGCTGATAAATGAAACCACAAGTCACAGAATCCCTTGCTCTGACTAAAACTAAGGCTGTGCACAGAGAGCTACTAGGTATCCCCATTTGTTTTCTTTGAAATGTTAAGTTGAATAACATGGTCAAAGGTTTCGAGTCCTTACACTAGAATTAGAGGATCCAGGCAAACTATGCTGCATCTTAGGGTAGGAAAAACATTAGATATGTGGTAACATCACTGTTTTAGATCTGGAAAACCCAAGTTCAAGTTCCAGTCAGACCATTTCACCAGTAAATCTCCCTGGGCAAAATATTTAAAGATCTATATCAGCTTACCTCAAATCCTTGTTGATTGTAAGCTTGTTTGAGCTGCTTCACCTCTTGTCTCGGGTAATATTCTGTATATTAATGACTTGCTGTCTAATATTCCCTTTCTATAATGATAAAGCACTAAATAATATGTCAGGGATATAAAAAGGATAATAATAATAATAATGTAATTTATGGGTATTTACACAGCATACAATGATCTTTAATGATTATCTCATTTTTTTGTATTGATTGCTTTGGCATACTTTAATTCATCATCTATACATTGCATTAAAATATGAAAGGGTCATTTGCAGCTTAGAACTCCCCTTTAAGGTTGTCACCCAATCTTACTCGTACATCAGTAGAAATCCACTCATTGGAGAATATCACAGAGGCCTGATTAATTGAGGTTCCCATAGATAGAATGAATTGACCAACACAGTTTAGAAGTCACTTTGTAATGTGGATTTAGTTAACACACACCTTTGCTGCTGTTATAGGCTTGACTAATGTTTTCCATTAGATTCTGCATGGATTTGCTAAAAGTATAAAAACAAGTACATAATTACAATACCTGGATGTATTTGCATGTAGCGTAATTAGCATATTTAATCCTGGAATATAAAAAATTAAGTCCAAACTTTCTATAAGCCATAATACTTCGGATCTTTGTTAGTTATAACAATTGTTCTCCATATAACCAGATTTTTATATTAGGCTGACGTCCAAGTAAGCAGTGTGATAAATTAAATGCATTTCGTACTTAGAAAGAATTTTATAAATGATCCGTCTATGTTCTTGCCTTTGTAAAGGGAAGCTGTTACTACTAAATAAAAATGTTTGGGGTGAAAAGAGCCATGTATTAATAATCCTAACATATTTGTCACCTCATTTTTCTTGTTAGCTGGCTCCTCGTTATGGTGACTGTATATTTGCTGTGACAAGAAACAGAGCTTTAACTCCATTGAGAAAAATCCCTCCTGATCCTATTGTTGGCGTTTGCCGATGGTTGAAGGGAGCAAGAGGAGCTGACTGCCTCTCTCTTGCTGAATTGCAAGTGTTTAAATGCAAAATGCAGTTAAAGAACATAATGGTATATGTGGCCAAAAGGTTCTGGGCAAAGGGTATAGTCATGGTATTCACTCTATGGAAGTGTTTACGTTAATCCCTGGCAACAACCCTGGTCTTCTTCCAAAGGATTCACAGAAAATACTGTTACCTCTACACAGAGCCCCCGCTGAGTTCAGGGCCAGATTTAAATGTCAGATGCCTGTAAGCGAAGAATTCTATGGCTTCTCCTGCTCCCTCCCTAAAAAACATAGACAAAAAATATTTTTAAAAAAAGGATGATAAAGTGAGCATAACTAATGTATTATCTGAACATTGCAGACAAAAAAAAAGAAAACATAAAATTTGACAACTGCATATGTTTTTATGTATGTACATATTTCTACCTGTAATGTATTATGTTTGAATATGTGAGTATAGTGAATGCATGCAGAGTTAAAAATAATGTTAGAAGTTGTTATGGTAAATGTGGGTTTAGGTTAGAGAGGGGTTAAGTCTGAGTTAGATTACATAGAGTGTTTAGAATTAAAGGTCCACTCCACATTCCAAAGGCACTTGTTGAGATTGTTGAAGTGCTTTTTGGGTTAGGAGTACCCTAGTTTAACCCTAGTTTATAAAAGTGCAGATTTCTATGAGAAAACAGCTCTCTTCTAAATTAACGAGGGAGCTCCCCCTGGCTTCTTAATGAAAAGCCTCAGATTGGCTATTTCCCTGTGAAAAGACTGAAACTCTCTTCTAGGAAAAAGGTTGAGGACATTCTAAGGCTGCAGTTAATAGGGGAAAAAAATCATGCATGTAGTCACTGGAGGTATATCTACTTAATGGTGATTTTTCTTTTTGTTACTATGTGGGAAATGTAGTGCTCCTTTAAGAGGGCAATAGTTTTGGTATAATGGGTGTTGAGAATTACTGGGTTTTGAATTAGAGTGATGCTAAAGGGACACTATAGCCACCAGAACTACTACAGCTTACTGTATTTCTTCTGGTGAGTATAATCATTCCCTTCAGGCTTTTTTTGCAGAGAAAATACAATGTTTACATTACATCCCAGGGATACCTCCACTGGCTACTCCTCAGATGGCTACTAGAGTTGCTTCCTTGGGCTGTGCAGCACTGCTTTTCAGTGTCTCCAGCATTGATACACTGAACTTTCCTCATAGAGATGCATTGATTAAATTAATCTCTATGAGGAGATGCTGATTGGCCAGGGCTGTGTTTGACTTGTGGTCTGCCTCTGATCTGCCTCCTTGACTATCTCAGCCAAAACAATGCTTTCCTATGTGAAAGCATTGTGATTGGCTTTTGTTCAACACTTCTGATGATGTCAGCCAAGTAGGCAGATCAAGGGCAGAGCCAGCAGACAGGAATAAAAGTAAGATTTTACTATATTTAGGGGACCAAGGAAGGAGGAAGGAGGAAGGAGGGCTAGATGGTGTTTTAACACTATAAGGTCAGGAATACATGTTTGTGTTCCTGACTCTATAATGCTCCTTTAAATGTAGTATTCAGAGATCTCCCTAGCCAGAAAGCCATAATTCCAGACACATTTCAAGGATCGGTTGCCCCTCCAAACTATCACAGTGTAAGTGACCCCCTTCCACCCCCCACTCAGTGACAGGTTTCCACCATGCTCTCACTGTACAGTGCTCTCTGTGAGGGGAAGAGGCAGAGTCCAGGAATGGGAAGTGACATCACTTCCTGCCCTCTCCTCTTTTCCTGTAGAGTACTTCTGGATAAAGAGTAGCACCAACCATCATCTCTCACAACTCTGGCATCCTGCGAATTGGGACGCCGGTGGCAGGAAGGTAAAGGGGGAAGGCCAATGATACAACTGCAACACTTGCTCC